TGTTATCATCAAAGGTGTATTCCACCACTCACCTTATTTTGTATTGAATAGACATGTTTTCTAAATATCACACCTGGTCATTTATCTTAATATTTTTTCCACTTAACAGTAAGGTATTCACAGATTTTTGCCTTAGGTATAAAAGGTACAAATATCCACCACAGTTCAATTGATCAAAGGATTTTTTTAAACATCTGTCTTAAAATTCTATCTAATATGTTGCTTCAGGCTCTATATAGCCACAGCTTCCAAGTGATACCAAGAGACTTACCCAGCAGGGATTATGTAAACCTTATATAATTAATATTTGTGAGATTTCTTAAGATCCTGGCACAAAAGACAGCAATGAAATTCAAAGTTTTCAGTTTTAATCATAACTTTCCTTTTAAATTAAATGCCAGTTAGAGTCCGGAAGGCTTCGAGTCCCAGCCCCAAGAGCAAGACCATTGCTACCATTAAAAATATACTTTTTTATATAAAGGAAGAGTCAAAAGGGGTTAAAGTTGTTTAGGGAGGCCATATAAATCCCATCAATGTTCAGAAATACACAGTTAATGGATATATAATCAGAATCAAAATATCTCATTGGCGTGAGTGCTGCCTCTAAATCCTAATCCATATAGTTGCTAACCCAGAGAGCTTCTCCTAAATCTCCATGTTTTCCCATGAACAGATTATTTCTAATGAAATGGTGCAGGGTAACTAAAGCCCCATGAGGCAGCCTTCAAAATAAAGCTAATCCTGTATCAAAGTCTCTGCATAAATGAACTGCAGATGAAAGGCCAAAAGTATGGTTGGCAGTTAAAACACAAGACAACCAGTTGAATTTGAATTTAAGATAAACAACAAAGAAAGATTTGGTCTAAGTACGTCCCAAATATTGCATGGAACGTACTTAGAATTCACTGTTCATGCCGGGCGCGGTGGCTCAAGCCTGTAATCCCAGCACTTTGGGAGGCCGAGACGGGCGGATCACGAGGTCAGGAGATCAAGACCATCCTGGCTAACACGGTGAAAACCCATCTCTACTAAAAAATACAAAAAAAACTAGCCGGGCGAGGTGGCGGGCGCCTGTAGTCCCAGCTACTCGGGAGGCTGAGGCAGGAGAATGGCGTAAACCCGGGAGGCGGAGCTTGCAGTGAGCTGAGATCCGGCCACTGCACTCCAGCCTGGGCGACAGAGCCAGACTCCCTCTCAAAAAAAAAAAAAAAAGAATTCACTGTTCATTTTACATTCAAATTTGACCGGACAACCTTTGTTTTTTATTTGCTAAATTCGGCAATACTAACCAAAGGAAAATTAAGACTATTTTCAATTGACACTATACCATCCTGTACCAATGAAAAGCACAGATGAGATGAATTCTATAACTGTCTATTTCATTTTAATGATTTCTATTACTTACCCAATGGCAAAGTTCCCAACATCTATAAGCCATGTTAAAACAGGTGAAAGAAATTGGTTATGCTGGTGTAAAGGGTTGTGAGGAACATTTAAAGATTCACACATCAGAAAATACAATGTTACATCAACCCTGTCATTTAAATAATTTAAGCTGTAACTAAAAAAATAAATGTCATGAACTACATACACAAATCAGTCTTACTGAATAGTTGCCCGGCTTGCACATTAACTAGATGACAACCTATTAGCTCTGTATGTCTAAGTAAAAAGCAAACATTGGATAAAGCAGACATTCACTATCTGCCCACCTCTTCTCAGAATTACCACGTCTTCTACATAAAACATGAATTTTTCCAAGAAACTGCTTCACTTGATATCTTATGAACAAGACAAATAAGTTTGATTTCTAAACTAATGTGCCCAATTTTAGTGATAGATACTTCTTTTGGAAGCAAACAGTCTTAACTGCTATTGCAGGATTCCCTCATTTAGATTTAAGACAGTCAAATTCGTTTTGAAAACACTTAAAAAATGTTGTTGTCCATTGCTTCCGGTGGGGTGCTATAACCCCCTTAGGGTAAATTACTGCTTAAGAAAGTCTGCTTAAACAGTATAATATTTGGCCAATGTTTTTCTCATAAAAACCCAAGCACAATTAGACTGGGGTCAAATGCTGAAGTTAAATTAGAGATGTGGAAATTATTGATGATTGCCCTTGTTTTGGAGCATTCGGACAAAATGACCTGTCTTTTCCTAAGTTGTTAATCTGAATTATCTCAAGTTTGCAGCTCTGGGGAACTGACCTTTGAGGTTTAGCTGAGTTGAGTTTTTGAAACACACCAGTTTGCAAACGTTTCTATGGAAGAAATAAAAGTCCTTGATGAGACTTTACATCTATTTGTTACTGAGAATTTTTTGGACTCTTGTGCTAAATCTGAGTTGGCACATTATTAACCTTTTCAAATTAGGCATTTGTAGGCTCAGCTGAATATTTTCTTAATTTGCACATTGGTTTGCTGGAACAGCTGGCACTGCACTGGAATATTAGTTGAGATCTTTGATTTACATAGTCCAAGTACAAACATATAAACTCTGCTTTTGGAGAGAATGACCTAATTAGTGCAGAATATAGTACACTTCATTAATAAGAATAATAGCAACAACAACAGCTAACACGTATTGAGCATTTGCTATGTCTCCAGCACTGTATACCTATAGGTATATTCAGTTATTGAACACTTTCAATAACTCCAATTTTTTATTCTCCAAATTTTGTACATAAGAAAATGCAGAGTGGTTAATGTACTTGCCCTCAATCACACAATTAGTAAGTAGTAAAGCTTAGATTTTTACCTAGGCAATCTAGCTGCAGAATCTACGCACCTACCATCTTGAAACACTACCTCTGTAAATGCATCAGTTAACAACAAAGAGAACAACAAAGAGTGTTCATGCACCTTCTCAGGTCAGTTTTCATGTGAAGGAAATGTCACATCTTTGACTGTGACCAAAGATTTCAGGGGAATAGGAGTTTCTCAGGCTAAGGAATGCAAGTGACTCTTCACAACCACCCCCAACAAACCATAATCAACCTTCCTGTTCCTTTAAATGTGTGCACAATTTTGTGCATTTTAATATATGTGTGATAAGGCTACTAAGCTGACATATATCAAGTACAGAGTCATAAATGTGCAGGGTGAAGTCAGTCTTCCTTCAAGGATAAGGACATTCTAGGTGTTAGTTACCTGGAGAAGAGGTACCTACCAGAACCAGAACACAAATAGGATCCCTAGCTGTGTGGCAGACTGGGAATCTAGCTCTCTGGTGATCTACGTCTTAATCACCAAGGGACCAATATGTCTGCGCAGGGTGGCTGGGTAATGGGGGGAAGGTCCTGAGAGGAAACAGGGGCAAACAGAGCAGATCCAGTGCAGGAGAAATAGGACCAAGAGGTTTGTGCCTCTCTTACCTAGTGTCTTTCCTTTTTGTCCTTCTTGAGTATTCAGAAAATGCCTTTGAAAGTTCTAATATATCTCATACTTCACTGAGGGAGTTTTTAAATAAATAGGGCCATGAAAATCTTGAATGTAACAACCATGGTGGCAAGAACAAAGGAAGAGAATCCAGATGGGGAGCAGGAGAGGGATAAAGGTGGAAGCTACCAGGGGCCTGCCATTCTCGTTCCCTTCTTGGTTTTGGGGACAAACGCTGGAGGCTCTGGTTTGTATTTTAATCTGGAATCAGTACTGCAATATGCCTTATACTGGCATAAGAAGTGTTTGATAATGGTTTATACAATAGACATGCTAGTTTTCTACTATAATCAACCTTGAGAGAACTGAAGACCATCTAAGATTTCTCTCTCCTTTTAGAAATACAAATGAGGCTGGGCACAGTGGTTCACATCTGTAATCTCCGTACTTTGGGAGACCAAGGTGGGAGGATCACTTACGTTCAGGAGATCAAGACCAACCTGGGCAACATAGGAATACCCCTCATATCTACCAAAAAATAAAAATTAAAAAAAAAAAAGCTGTTTATGGTGGTGTGAACCTGTAGTCCCAGCTACTCGGAAGCTTGAGGTGAGAGGATGGGGAGGCCAAGGTTGCAGTGGAGCTGGAATCGCGCCATTGCACTCCAGTCTGGGTGACAGAGCTAGGCCCTTTCTCCATAAATATATAAATATGTTTATATATACCCGAGTGAATAAATGTGGAGATCTACCCTTGCTGGCTTGTTGACAATGCACACATATTTGCAAGTGTCCATTATATGTGCTGGAGGAAATATTATGTATATTTTGAGAGGATTTGTTGAGCCAAAAAATAAGCCCCTGTGTAACGCTTTTCCTGGCTCAAGAAAGTATCACCTTAAGAATTTTACAGAAATATTTTTGAAGCCTATGGCTAGAAGGGGAAAAAGAGAAGGAAACAGAAAAGAAATAAGGCCTGGTGAAACTAACTAGAGGTTTGCTAGGGAGTTCTGGGATAAGCCCCCAAAACACATGTGCCACTTTCACTTCAAGAGTCCTCATCTCTTTCTTCTTTACCAACACGTCTATTTTTTTCTTTAAAAATTATATTTTACATTCTGAAAACACCTTAAAATTAAGGTGCAAAGAATCTCATGAGGTATTTATGCCAATTTTCATTTTTTTTCATGAAATTTATTGCGAAGTAGCTCTAACAACAAACTGATGTCTTAAAGAGATTCCTTCAGAGGCACAAACTTCAGCGGGAATGCAGCGTCCATTAGCTTCATCATTGTCCGCTTGGGATATGCACATCGAAACATAACTAGGGAAATGAAGCAGTATGTCTTCCTGAGTCTCGAGCCTCACAGCTGGAAGGCTGTGACCATCTGGAATCTGATCCTAATTAGTGCATGGGGGTAGGTGTGGTGCTCAGCCGGTCCCTGGCCCACCAGTCCTCACTCTGGTGGTGGGTCAAGGGTGATATTCCTCCCGCAATAGCGGAGTTAAACTAAACTGTAACGCTGAACCAAAAAAAAAAAAAAAAAAAAAAAAAAAAAAAAAAACAAAAAAAAAAAAAAGAAAAGAAAAAAAAAGCGTCTTGGGGGTGGGGGTGGGGAAGCTACAATATAGTGCTTGTTCGGGTTAATCCCGGTTTTGACAACTGCCAGAGCTGTTCAAAAAAGGAAATGATTAAATAAATAAGACAAACCACTAAATCAAATTAGCAAACGAACCCCTCTACTGACTCACTCAAGGGTTTCTTAACCTCAAGAAAAGAGTTTTGAGTGAGGAGAAGTAAAGGTACCTTCCGTGTCATTACGTAAGCATCTCCTGCTTTGAGGATTACGGGAATTACCACCGGCAGCCAGCCAGGAGCTCCGCTGCCTATTACACCTGCCTGACCCAGGCTCTCTGAGCCCAGCCCGAGGCTGGGCAGCCAAAGCCCAGTGGTTCGGGAACTGTCCGCGGACGCGTCTCCAAACCGTGCCGAGATACCAGCGCGAAAGAGGTTTTCTCAGACGGACGTTCAGTAAGTAGAGAAAATACGCTATAGTTTCAAATTGGGAAACTTTTCCTTATAACTGCATTACCCATTGTGAGCTGCCAGGAAACCTCTAGCTTCTTTTCAAGGGATTGCGACGACTCGTGTCCACAATTGCAGGAACCCGACGAACTCAGAGGGAGGAAATACAGACTCAAGCATGAGTAGAATCGGTTTGCGCTATGTGACTTTGGTTCACATTTAACTGAAAATGCCAGTGGCCGCTCAGTCGGGCTACCTTTTCCACCAGCACCATATCCACAGCCAGTTGTCCCTTTGCGGGAGACATTTTCTGGAAAAAATGGGTACCTGAACTCCAGATTCAAAGCGTCTTTCTGAATCTTTCCCCGGTCCCCGCCAAGCCGAGCTCAGTCGTCTGGCTCCCCTTTTCCCCATCCCCGCTGCCAGAGGTCGCTGCCGTCTGTGGTCTCGAAACCCGAGAGTGGCTCCTAGGAAGCCTTTCAGAGGTGGTGCAGGGGGAGGGGAGAGGATGCTAGTTTAGCTAAGTTAATAGCTTCTTCCATGAGATACGTTTTTGGGGAGCTCTGGGGCAGAAGGTAGCCTTGCAACCCCCAGTGACGACTGCGAGCCTGACCAAGGCCGGGCCGCTGCTGTTAGTGCCACATCATCCTAAGCGTAACTAGGAATGGACGCCGGAGATCAGAGACCGCCAAGACTCCAGAAAGCAAACCTGCCCCGCCAGGCGCGCAGCCGCTGCTGAAGCCTTCCCAGATGCGAACCTCCCACCCCCACTTCCCCGGTTTTTTCATCCCTTCCAGTGCCGAACCGCAACAGGAAGTCTGGTCCCGTACTCTGGCAGAGTGCGCTCCGAAACCCTGGTGAAGAAAGAGAAGCCTTGAGGCGCAGTCCGTGTTGCCCACCCTGGGCTCGAACGTGCAGCTCAGCCAGCCACCTGTTCCACAAAGCTGGAGTTTGAGCGGGTGCGGGCGCGGTTTGCGGCAGGAAGGACCCCATCGTCCCCTCCCTCTGCACGGTTCGGGACGGCCAAAGGCGCACATCACCTCAAATCTAAGTGCGCACACACCTGCGCACTCAACCCGCAGACTCGCACCACTCGAGGCGCCGGCGCGCGGCGACTAGCTGCCGTGTCTCCTAGCTTCAGCCCCGACCCCGCGCTCGCCACTGGGGCCCACCCCGCGACCTGCCCTTCCGGGAGGATGGCGCCAATTACCTGACGTTAAGATGCAAAGAGCGAAGAGAGTCTTGCAGACCATGGTAGCCTGGTGTTTGGTGCCAAGCCCGGAGCGGGCGGCAGGGAGTTTGCGGACTGACAGAGCGCACTGGGCGCCGGTAGTGACTCCTCTGCCGGGTGGGCTGCGGTGGGAGCCGGGAGGCGCGGACAGCTACAGTGCAAGGCGCGAGGCAGACGAGGCGAACGCAGCCCGGCTCCGTCAGCTGCGTGCCCTCCAGTGCTCCGCGCGCTTCTGCTCCATCCCAGCCGCCCGAGCCCGGGGCCGCCTCCGCCGCCGCCGCCGCGCCTGCCGCTGCCAAACCCCTCCCACCCGGGCCCCGCGGCAATGACAGGGCCACCCCCTGGCCTTCCATCTCTCAGCCCTCAGGTCCCGAGAGCCCCGGCCCAGAGCGGCCTCTGCTGGACAGTCAGGACGCGAGACCCTGGGTTCGGTAAATGTTTGCAGCACCTTGCACTGTGCTGGGAACTAGGGATACAAAGAAGTGTGAGCACATCTCTGCCCTTGGGAATCTAGCTCAGCTTTTCTTACATGAGCTTACAGCCTTTAGAGAGGTGACCTTATGTCATTTTAGGTGTTCCCTCGGAGAACCGACGCATGTTCCAAGAATGAGGACCTTCTTCATTTGTCCAAACACTTCTGCATGTACATAGTAAACCCTCATCCACATTCAACCCGGCTGAGTTTCCTGGGGCCTGAACCGGCATGTCTGCCGCTGTATTCAGCTTCTTACTAGAAGAAAATACTAATGTCAGGTAACTGATGGTGGAATAACTAAGCCAGACACCCTACTAGGCGTTGTTTCATGAATCCTTCCAAGAATTATTATTATTCCATTTTACAGGTGAGAAAATGAAGGCACGGAGAAGACAGTGTTCTCTCGGTCGCATAACTGGTAAGAATAGTTTGTGCACTAGGCCCATAATAACAAAGGCTGACATTTCCTGAGTGATTGCTATGTGCTAGGCTCTGGACAACGGGCTGTTCAAGAATCAACCAAGTCATTTAGTTCTCACAACAATCCTTGGAGATTATTTCCTCGTTTTCAGGGGAGGAAGTGGAGGCACAGAGAAGTTTAACTTGCCCGAGTTCAAACAACTCGCAAGTAGTGATGAGATGCCTGCCCGGGCACCCTGCTCAACCTCTGTACTCTACTCCCTCTCCAGAGCCCAAAGCTTCTCCAAAGCCTACAGATTAGAACTGACCTTTCATTCAGTTCCCTCCCTGCTCCTGCTACACTTTAGGCTTGCTTAATTCTCACACTTCGATCAAAGCAGATGGCAGGTTCTCTCCCAATTCTGTTATTAATGAACCTGTTGGTCCCCTAGTCACCAGAGCTAGGGCACTGCAGGAGTTAACAAGCCTTTGTAAAGAAATTATTTGCGTGGAAGACAGCTTTCTTTTTTCTGTGATATCTTCTTCATATGCCATGGGCTCTGTTCTCACTTCTTTCTCACATACCAGAAGCTGACTCTAGGAGGCCTGAGCACCTTATCTATGGTCAATTCCTCTGCCTGACTCTATCACACTACCACTTGTAGATTTTGCTCACACTTCCACAACAAGATTAAATTTGGATCACATTTTTTTCTCTTTGTGTTGGTAAATTTCTGTTGGCATGAGAAACAAAAAATACTCAAAGCAAGTGCCCATCCCCTCTCCGTCCTCCCTGGCCAGATAAACTGCAAATTCAATTTGTTCAACACGCTCTCTGAATGCTTTTGACTTCAAGGTACTTCCGGTTTCTAGGGTAATCTATGTGATTATGAACAATTTCTGCATCTGGGTTTTAGTTGTCATGGATGCAGGGACCACACACAGATGGAGTTATGTAGCGACATTCTATCAGGCACTGGCCGCTTTAAATAGGGCAGGTTAAGTAAGTGACTGTATGGCAGAAATAAAGATTTCTGAAGACCACTTCACAGGAAAAATTTATTCAATTGAAATTCAGCAAAACTTTAAGGAGTCTTTCCGGAGTGCCAAGCATGTGCAACTCTAACTTGATATCTAAGATACTGGTTTGGTTCTCAAAGAATCATGACCCCTACACACTAATCAGTGAAAATTTCCAACACTTTTCTATTGTATGCAGGATAGAGTTGAAATAATTTATTTGATTAAAATAGTTCATTTTAATTGCTGATTAAAAATTTTAATTTATTAATTTAATGAGAGCATATTTAATCACTTATTTTATGCCAGCCCTTATGCTAGGCAATGGGAATATAATGGTTGTAATAGCCAGGGTAGTGTAGGTTTTGCTGCTGTAATAAACCAGCCCAAAGTCTCCCAAGCTTAAGCAATAATGGTTTATATCTTGCTCATCAAAATCTGCTATGGATCTAGGTTACTCCTCAGAGTAGCTGTCCTCAGGATTCAGTGTTGTACCACCATATCGAAACCTGCTTTTGTTACAATAGGTAGCTAGCCAGGCATGAGTGGGGCAGGAGAGAGCTCCCCCGACACCCCGCCAGGAAAATCAGGAAACCATCATGTGGTGGCCAGGCAGTTATTAACTATCACTCTAAAATAATAATTGGTTACAGCTGGCACGAGGGAATGGCCATCTCCCCATAAATAGGGAACACCTGAAACTGGTAATCAGCAGCTTCCAATAAGATCTCAGGAGTTGGGCAACTGAACTCAAGTATGTGCATTAAGATGCAAAATGGTGGAGTTTAACTGGGATATGACTTTCTGGGGGCATTAAAGGAATGCAAGATGCCAGAAGTAGGCCAGCATGTAAAACTCTAAGTCCAAGGTCAAATGGGGCACTTGACCTCCAAGATGCCCGCTTGGGCCTCTTCCAACTGTACTTCCTTCCTTGCTGCTCTAAAGCTTTTTAATTAACTTCCACTCTTGCTCTGAAACTTGCCTCAGTCTCTTTTTCTGCCTTATGCCTCTCAATTGTATTTTTTCTTCCGAGGCAAGAATTGAGGTTGCTGCAGACCTGTACTGATTCCCCGCCAGTGACTTGGATAGCTTCCACCGCTAACAGTTTCACATCCACTGAGTTAGGGGAAGAGAGAAGTGGAGAATTAAGTATTCAAATCTCCCATCTAAAAGTGACACTTCTGTTCATATTTTATGGGTTAAAGCAAGTCAATGGTCATGCCCAACTTCAGGAAAGCAAGAAAGCATGTTATTTTTGTGTGCTCGGATAGAGACGAGAACTCTATAGCAGGGAACACTGTGATGTGTGCCACAGGGGCTAATTGTCTCTGCACCAGGAAACTTACTTTCTAGTAGTGGGGAGTTAAACATTGAATGAATAATCACAAAGACATATGCAATAGCATTATAGTAAATGCCACAATAATAATAATAATGAAAATTTGTTAATTGTTCCAAGCATTTTATGTACAGTCATGTGTTTAAATTTGTACACTCTGACTTTGTGAGATAGATACTGTAGAAGACCAGAATATGCCACTTCAAAATATGTCTTTTTGGTATAAGTATTTGTTTGAGAAACAGCAGCTATAGGAGCAACTCTGAGAATAGAGTGGAATTACCTTTTTGTAGGGTGAATTTAAATCTATAAAGGGAATTTTCATTTGTAAGAATGTCTTCCTCTGAGTACTAGGAAGAAAAGGATGGCACTAAATTACTAGAAACTCTTATTAATGGAGAGGGCACTGACTTAAATCTGCATAACAAACTTTACCTTTGTTTACCATGCTTTACCTGGTCACTTCCTCATAACTGCACCCCTACCCCGATACTCCTCTTTCTTTGTTTCAGCTGAAGATGATATTTAAGTTTGAATTCAAAGCCACCTCTTTGAAAATTACTAATTCCCTATCTCATATATATATATATGAAATATACATGTTAATAAACTTGTGGGATTTTTGTTGTTGTTGTTAATCTGTCTTTTGTTATAGGGGATCCCAGCTTAGAACTCATAAAGGATAGAGAGAAAACTTATCTTTTCTCCCCCCAAATACTATTATTATCCAAATTTTACAAAGTAAGAAACTGAGAAATACTTATACAGAATAAAACTTTGAAGGAAACTAAGGGATGCAATGAGATATAATAGCAGGGGAACTAGTACTCCTCAGTGCGGTCAGGGATGGAATTTGCATGTAACCCATTGACTTACAGCAAAAGTCATTTTTTTCTTAGTAGAATTCTTAGTTCTTTCATAATACTCCACTGGGATAAAGTTTCAGATAAATCTACCTTTTACTGACTTTGACTCTTTTTTGATCATTGATAAAATGAATTTTTAGTGTTGTGGACTTTTAATATTTTACCAAAAAAAATTACTCTTGGCTGACTTAGATTTTTACATCCTGAATATATTATACTTTATAATTTTAGATAATATAGAAGTATTATTTCTGGATTCTTGATATCATGAGATGGTTTCATCTGGTCTCTTGGCTTAAGTGAGAGAATAACTTGGCTGAGAGAGCTGCAGTGGTTAGAGGTTGGGTCCTAATCCCCTCTGTCATCTACTAACTGAGTGATTCTAATTAATTATTTGGCACCTCTATTCCTTTGTTTCTGTATCAGTCTGCTAGGGCTGCCATAACAGAACATCGCCAACTAGGTGGCTTAAACAACATAAATGTATTCTTTCCCTTTTATGGAAGTTGGATGTCTAAGGCCAAGGCGATACCAGTGTTCAGGCTCTTGACACCATTGCAAGAAGGAATTCAAGGATGAGTCAGAAAATAGTGACAGTAGGAGATTTATTGCGAAGTGAAAAGCATATACTCGAGAAAGGGGATTGTGGGGGTACTTAAGACAGAGTTGTTCAATGGAGTTTGGAGTTTCCGTCTTTATGGGCTTCTTTAACCAAGGGGTGGAGTATTCATTAAAATTCCTGGAAAAAGTTCGGGATTTCTCAGAACTGTGGTACCACCTATTTTTTACACCAAATATGGGTGTTCTCAGACTGTCCTGGCACTGGTGGGTATGTAATTGCTAATGTTAACAATAATATAATGAGGTCCCAGAGAAATCTAGGTCAAATCCAGTGCCATGTTGGGTCCAGTTGGTCTTAGCCAGCTGGGTCCATACCTCGGGTTTTCAGGGTCTTATCAGTTCCTAGCTTCTGCAGCTATTTCAACAGTTTCCTTTTGCTAGTCAGGCAAAACTGCTGTCTGGAATTTTCTAATCTCCTGCTACCACCCTGTATTATTCCTGTCTCAAAGGTGCTGGCAGTATTGGTTTCTGGTAAGACCTCTCTCCTTGTCTTACAGGTGGCTGTCTTCTCACTATATTCTCATTTGACCTTTTCTCTGTATGTGCACACTCCCGGTATCTCTTCCTCTTCTTATAAGGATACCTGTCCTGTTGGATGAGTCCTGTCTATATAACCTCATTTAACCATTATTACTTACTTAAAGCCCTATCTTCAACTATAGTCTGTTGGGGGTTAGGGCTTCAGCATATAAATTTTAGGGGATACATTCAGTTCATAACATTTCACCCTTTGGCCCCCTCGAAATTCATGTCCTCTCACATGCAAAATACATTCACTCCATCCACCCCAACAGCCCCAAAAGCCTTAACCCATTCCAGCATCTAAAATCCAAAGTCTCACTGAAATACTATACAAGTCAGATATGGGTGAGACTTGAGGTATAATTCATTGTGAGGCAAAATTCCTCTGTAGCTGTGAACCTATGAAATCAGACAAGTTTTGTGCTTCCAAAATATAAGAGTGGTACAAGCATAGGATAGTTTCCTCCTGGCATTATAGGGAAGATTGAAAGGATTATATATGTGAGAGGCTTGGTGTGTTCTAAGTACCAATGAAAATCAGCCATTATTAGAGGAGAAACTTTGGAGTACGTTAAAACATTACATGCTCTAAAATACAAGGAGAAAATGGCTGGGCATGGTGCCTTATGCCTGTAATTCCAGCACTTTGGGAGGCTGAGGTGGGCAGATCACCTTAGGTCAGGAGTTCAAGACCAGCCTGGCCAACATGGTGAAACCCCATGTCTACTAAAAATACAAAAATTAGCTGGGCGTGGTGGCACATGCCTGTAATCTCAGGTACTTGGGAGACTGAGGTGGGAGACTCGCTTGAATCCAGGAGGTAGAGGTTGCAGTGAGCTGAGACCGCGTCTTTGCACTCCAGCCTGGGCAACAAGAGCGAAACTCTGTCTTACAAAAAATAAAAAAAAATTTAAAAAAAACAAGAAGAAAACATTAGTACCTGCTGTGGCTATTTCTTGACACACAGTACTATGTGTCTTGGGGTCTACCTCTAGTAATCACTCTCCTGCTACAACTGAGCTGCAGTGGAAAGTTCTAAACTATCTCTGTCAGCCCCTTCCCCACCTCACCCTCCTCCCCAAAGGCAAAAATGCAGCTGCCGCAAGACCCTGATATATTTTGTCTTGGCTTTATTTCTCTCTCTCCAAGCTGCATTGCAAAATACTTTCTTTGGGTCTGCCATACTTCTCCCCATTACTTTGTTTTTCTCTTCTTAACTCCAATTTTTAATTTTAATGGCAAAAAAGATTAAAGGAAGAAGTGCAATATGTGCAAAAGGGTAAATTTGGATCTCAATTAAGACATATCTGCTTGAATGGGGCAGTTTTAAAAGAGCATGATGAAACATGATAATGTCCCTGATTTAAATAACATTGTTCATTGTTTGAAGCTGCATGAGGTACTTGAGGACAATAAACCATGTGTCAGTAATTTTTATTTTAACTAAGAATAAAGCCCTCTAAACCAAAAATAAAATTCTAAGTCCCCCAACCAACCCAATGAACCCTTCCTCTTGGCCAAGGGAATTCCACAGTTAACCGGAAAAACTAGTTCAGGCCATGATGGGAAGTGGAGGTCAGACATGCCTCATTAATCCTCCTCCCTTTGGAACTCAGGCATAGATGATCATCATTAACATTAAAATGGAGACCTTAAGACTGACAGAATAGACTCTTTAAGTCTGACAAGAAACATTTATAATCTATTTTCTCTGAAGCCTGCTACACGGAGGCTTCATCTGCATAATAAGAACCTTGGTCTCCACAGTCCCTTATCTTAACCCAGATACTCCCTTCTCTTGATTCCAGGTCTTTGGGTCAATTCTTTCAACCAATTGCCAATTGGAAAATCTTCGAATTCACCTATGACCTGGAAGCTCCTAGTTCAAGTTGTCCTGCTTTTCTGGACCAAACCAATGTACATCTTACAAGTATTGACTGATGTCTTTTGTCTCCCTAAAATGTATAAAACCAAGTCATGGCCTGAACCACTTTGGGCACATGTTCTCAGGATCTCCTGAGGCTGTGTCATGGACATGTCCCTAACCTTGGCAAAATAAACTTCTAAACTGATGAAGACTTCTCTCAAATACTTTTTGGTTTACAGCCCTGACAATATTTCAGGAAGGAAGAAACTCCTTCTTAGATGTGATGCACATAATGAAATCTCTATTTAAACTAGTGTAAAACTTAATTGAGTTGATACAGTACTATCCAATAGAAATAAATTACAAGCCACATAGAAATTTAAACGTTTCTAGTAGACACATTTTTAAAAAGTAAAACTAAGTTATATTAATTTTAACAATATGCTTTAATTCAATATATCTAAAATATTATTTTGACAGGTAATAAATATAAAAAATTGAGATATTTTTCATTTAAAAAATTCAAAATCTTCAAATTCTAGTGTATATTTTATACTTGTAGGAAATTGTAATTCAGACATGAATTCATCTCAATTTCAAGTGTTCAAAAGCCAAACATAGCTAATAGCAATCATAATGGACAGTGCAGTTTTAGAACCTGGACCTAGTCTTTTGCCATGCCTCTGAATATGTTCTATAAAAGTAAGAAACAGTGCTACTGAGGCTTTCCCAGCTGACAGTACTGTATAGTAGTTGAAAGCTTGAAACTTGCTGATTGCATGGCCTGAGGCAATTTACTTAACCCCTGTAACCCCCAGTTTCTCCATTTGTGAAATGGAGATTATATTAATAATCCATTACTTCAAAGCATTGTTTTAAGTATTAAATGCATGGAAGTTATTTGGAATTGAGCCTAAACAGAGTAGACTCTTAACAAATATTTGCTGTTATTTTTGGTAGAAATGATTATGATGATGTTGAGAAATTATAATTAATAGTAAAATCAGACTGGGTGTGGTGGCTCATGTCTGTAATCCCAGCCCTTTGGGAGGCCAAGGTGGGAGGACCTCTTGAGCCCAGGAGTTCAAGATCAGCCTGGGCAACATAGGGAGACCCTGACTCTACAAAACACAAAAAAATTAGTCAGGTGTGGTGGTATATGCTGTGGTCTTAGTTACTCAGAAGGCTGAGATGAGAGAATCACTTGAGTCCAGGAGGCTGAGGCTGCGGTGACCTGTGATAGTGCTACTGCACTCTAGCCTTGACAACAGAGTGAGTACCTGTCTCAAAACAAATAAATACATTTAGTAAATAAAAAATAAAAATAGTAAAATCATGCCAAATATTTCTGTAATATTTTGAAGAATTAGATTCCTTACTACTCAAAGACACTGACAATATCCCTTATCCTTAGAAATTTACATATGCGTAGTTTGGAGTAGCATTTCTCAACCTTTTTGGTTTTAGGACCAAAAAACCTTTATACCCCTAACACTTATTAAGAACCTGCCCCTGACTCCTGGCCAAACTGTTTATTTAGGTTGAAGGAACGTTTTAAGATCCCCTTCAGATAATTGGAATCTGTCCTCTTTTATACTACATGAATACTCAACAAGTAGTAGTTTCTTAAAAGTTTGTTGCAATACAGAATCCAAAAGCATTTCAATGTAATTTTCATATTCTGTCAAATTAAAATCCATTGATCTATCTTATATATTGAATATATCTTTTGTCCATGCATGATTTTATAT